TCGGTGTAACCATGCGGGGCCCAGGCAGGAAGCCCTAGGGAATACGTTCGATAGCGTGGGTCAGCCTTGAGCGCTGTTACACTTCTCAGGCGAGTAAAAGGAGATTGCTGTCCGTTAATTGGATCAACTAGAACTGTTTGTCGCATGTTTGAAGCACGTCAAACAAGCTCAGCCTCCTGGCGGGGGCTATGGGCACCTCTACGATACTGCCTGTATGAATGTTCGTCGGCACCCGGGCACGGCAAAAGGCGTGAAGCGGCCGACCTGTCTAGCGATTGCACGACACGCGTTACCTGTGACACATTGTGTACCAATCGGGTAACAAAATAAAGGAGGAAACAAAGCGCGCGCGAGGTCTTCTGGTTTGGTGCAATCTTCTTGGCTGTTTTGCTTTTGGAGTAAGCGCAACTTATGAATATGTCGCTCTTTTAGTTTCGCCCCAGTTTGGTGCCCGATAGCAGAACGTCGATTGCGCTACAATATAGTAGACAGGCAGATCGGAGGCCTCAGGCATGCGGGCACGTGTTGCTCAAGTAGGTCTTGAACATTTTCGTCTGTTGCTAAACTTCCAACAGGACGCTATTGGACACGGATGCCCTGCAATGCCAACAGAATCTTTTTGCAACATCCATTAGGCTTGCTTACTTGGTACGCTTGCCGCATCTGAATTAAGCTGCGTTTGCCTATAGGCAAATGTGCAGTATTTGGCGGACCGCTCGGGGACCTGCATGCGTGAGGATCGCCGGATTAGGCAGCTTGTGTGCGCGCATATATGCCAGCTGTGCTCGACGTCGCGACGGTGCGCTGTATAACCAGGACGTATGCATGTAGCCAAGGCTGGGAAGATGAGAATTGTGCAACAAATAAAGGCGCATATAGCGAGTCTGCAGCAGGGCAGACAAGTTCATCTTGTCGGTGCTGTTATGCGCACTTCTGCGTATCTGCCAGGAAGAGAGCAGGCGCGGATGGACTCTACACGATTGGAGAAGGCTGAGGTTGGCAGGCAATAAGATGTGGGAGTTCACCTTCCGTCAAACATGTTATTCGTTGGCATATAGCTGCTTGCACTGGGTTCCGGCGCCCCATATAAGTTTAGCTGCGCCTGCAGATAAGCGTATCTGCAGTACTTGGCGGACAGCTGTTCGAGTTGCATGTATGAACATCTCGGGGTTATGCGCTTTCCATGCGCACGCTTACGGCCGTGGTGTGGCGAAGTCGTCTCTGGTGTTTCGATCGTGAGCTTTCTAACCAGGAAATGTGGGCACAATTACTAGCCAAGGTTACGCCAGCAACTAGAAGCGGGTGTAGCGCCCCTGCAGCACGGCAGACAAGTTCATCTTTCAGCCAGTATGAGGGCCAGCATGGGCGATATCTGCTCGAGTGCAGATATGTGGTGTATGGAGGTCTGAAGGAGGACCATACTATCTGATATACACGTTGTACTTTGGTGCGTGATGCCTTGGAACGGGTGAGCGTGCCCGATATGACTTGAGGTGCTTCTGCCTATAGGTCTGTGTGCAGTATTTGGCAGACAGCTGTTAGATTTGCATGTGTGAGCATTGTGGAATTATGCAGTTTGTGTGCGCGCGTCTACGGCCGCGGTGTGGCGAAGCTGCATCTGACGGTGGGACTGCGCGCTCGTTTGGCCAGCAGTCATGCACATACTAACTAACTAAGATTGCGCAGCTGCAAGGAGTCCAGCAAGTACAGGCGTGTATAAGGCGTCTGCAGTATAGCAAACACGGTCGCCTTCTTGGTGCGGTTATGGGCATTTATACTTGCAGTACTATGTAAAATGGTACGGATCTTGCATGCATAGGGGCCGTCGGGTTATGCAGTTCACGTGGGCGCACCTACTGCTGCAGTGTGGCAAAGCCTTTCTCTCACATACACACTGCTGATTCGCTCAGACAGGACGCTTTCACTGACAACTGCAGTTGTTCTGCCCGGGTGTGGTGCTGTTAGTTTTCCAAATGTTCGGCTGCAAGGCTTGGCGCGTGCGTGCTTGCATGCATATTCGTGGAGGTCCGGTGTGAGGAGCCGTAGCTCGTTTTGCTTTAACCGTGCTCGTGTTCGGTGTTTACAGGGGACGAAGTGCTTTGGCGTTGCGACATGCGCTTGTGAGACAGAGCCTGGAGTGACGACCGAGCTCAGCGAACTAGTGGAAGTGCGGGAGTGTAAGTGCGCCCGGTGTTAGTAGGCAGCAGCGACTAGGCAATGATGTGCGTCAAACAATTTGCAGCACTGATTATCCGGCCGCTCAGCTACAATGGGGTCTAGCCTGCGTAGGATACAAGAGGAGCCTCTAGGAAAGAGGCGCGCAGCTAACGCTGCTGGGTCCTCAGCTGTTGCGCAACACGAAAACGGCACCGGAACGCCATGGGACTAGTTGTTGTTCGCAGAAAGCATTCAATCTGTCCTGCATTCGAGTAGAGTTAACGTTGAGATTTCCGCACGGACATTATTCTGGGCTGTTCACCTGCCGGCATGTATCACATGGACACAGTTGACACAGGAAAAAGGGAAGCGGGTCTGCAAAACATCCTATGTCTGCATGCACCTGACGTTGCAAGCTCGTGCCTCCGTGGTGTGGCTAAGCCTTCTCTGCCGTTACAATGCGGCGCCGTTTTTTCCAGGGACTACTCTCTCAACAGCAAACAAGTTTGCTCTACGCAGGCATCGTGCTGTGAGGTTTGAAGCTGTTTGATGGCAGACATGGATGGTTGTGTACATGCGTTCAGATTCTTGGAGTGGCTATGTAAGAAGGTGTGGAAGTTCGTCTTGCCTTGATCGTGCTCCTCTTCGGAATCTGCTGGAGCTGGGCACTGCAACGGGGTAGGAATCGGAATTAAGGGCATAGGCCGTCGACCTGCACTCATCTGATGCGTCAAACATGTCTTGAACGCTTTAGATTTACCCCCTAACACGACCCGATTCGACAGGGGCGCCCGATGCAGTCAGCTGCATTGAGTGTGTATTGAGCATGTTCTTGGCTCCCTTTGGCTCCCTTGCCTTGGTTGACTTTAGCTGCTTCTGCTGATCGGCGCATTCGCAGTATTACGGAGAGAGGTATGGATGCTGCATGCGTAAGGGCCGTCGGGTTATGCAGTTCACGTGGGCGCGCCTACTGCCGCAGTGTGGCAAGGCCTTCTCTCACACACACGCTGCCGATTCGCCCAGGAAGTACGCTATCACAGACAACTGTAGGTGTTCTCCCGGGCTATGGTGTTGTTAGTGTTCGGAATGTTTGGCTGCAAGCCTGGGAACGTGCGTGCTTGCATGCAGATTTGTGGAGATCCGGTGTGGGGCGTGGTAGCTCGTTTTGCTTTTACCGTGCTTGTATTTGGTGTTTGCATGGGGCGACATGCTTTGACGTTGCGATATGCACTGGTGAGACAGCGCCTGACGTGGCGGCCGAGCTGAGCGAACTAGTGGGTGTGCACCTGCAGCGCACCCGGTGTTAGAAGGCAGCAGCGACTAGGCAACGATTTGTGTCAAACGCTTAGCAGCGTTGGGTATCCGGCGGGTTAATTTTGATGCAGGCCCGCCTGTGTAGGAAAGGAGCGGGGCCTGTAGAAAATAGCAATAGCGAGGACCCCGCAGCGCACTTTGTAGCTATTGCGCAACACGAAAACGGCACTGGAACGTCATGCGGCTAATTGTTGTTCGCAGGAAGCATTTGATCTGTCTTGTATTCGAATAGCGGTAACGTTGGGATTGCCGCACGGACGTTATTCCAGGCTGTTAACCTGACAGCGTGTATACGCTTGTGCACAGTTGACACAGGAAAAAGGGAAGGGGGTCTGCAAAACACCCTATGTCTGCATGCACCTGACGTTGCAAGCCCGTGCCTCTGTGCTGTGTTAAGCCTTCTCTGGCGTTACAAGGGGCCGCCGCGTTTCTCAGAAAGCACTCCGTCAAGGGCAAACGCATTCGCTCTACGCAGGCATGGTACTATGGGGTTTGAATCTGTTTGATGGCAGACATGAATGGGTGTATACATGCGTTCAGATTCATGGAATGGCTATGCGAGAAGGTTTGGAAGCTGGTCCTGCCTTGACGGTGCTCTTGTTCGGATTGTGCTGTGGCAGTGTGGTTCGGCGTGGCCGTTTGCGCTTGTGAGACAGAATATGAGATCGCAAACGACTGCCGCAAGTTTGTGGCGTCGGGTGTGGGCAGGGCAATAAGTGCTAGACATCAGCATTGAGTCGGCAATAATTTTTGTCGAACGCTGAGTAGTAATGACGGTGACGGGCAGTTGCGTCCCGTATGATGGCATTCGCCCCGCGAGAATATAACAGCGTCAGCGAGCCGCGGCCGACACACGTTTGTGATTGCTAATGGGTCTTGCACGGAAGCACGCGAAGCTTGCAGTTTACTTTGTGTTTATCGAGTAACGCAGAAGAAGGGGCGAAGCGTGGTGCGGGAGGAGCGTTCTGGTTTGCCGAGATTCGTCAACCTGTTTTTGGTTGGGCCAAGGTGCAGGTTATGAATGCATGTATGTTTTTTGCCCGAGTTCGGCACCGTCTGTACGCATGTCGATAACACTTCAGCATAGGGCGGGGAGGCGAGCACGAAGCAGCCCCCCAGTGCCGTCCACCGGGACGGCATGCAACAGAGACCCCCCCCTGCAGCACGCTTTATGGTTTTGCAGTTAGTGTTAAGCTTACTTTTTGTTTGTGTGCCCTGGTTGAGTGCACTTGCGTCTGCCGATG